ATACTTCTGTTGACAATTTACATTTGTATCTTTTCCTTAGCCACTGATTGTAACTGTTGCTGTTTTTTGACCATTTTGACTTTAAACTGTCATACTAGAGGGCTGAAGGACTTACATAGCACCATTGTCTCACTGATATGTTTGAATTACAAATTTATCTCTATGGGTACATTTTGTAGTTTTTATGTTCTCATGATAGTAATTATTGTCTTCTCATTTCCAGTTGTAGCATTCCCTCAAGCATTTCTTGTAAAGCTGATCTAGTAGTGATTAACTCTCTCAGCTTTTGTCTGTGTGGGAAGGTCTTTATTTCTCCCTTATTTCTAAAGGGTAGCTTTGCTGGACAAAGTATTCTTGGCTGACAGTTCTTTTCTTTCAGGACCTTGAACATATCACCCCATTCTCTCCTGGCATGCAAGGCTTCTGTTGAGAAATCAGCTGTTATTTTAATGGGGACTCCCTTATATGTGACTTGATGATTTTCTCTTTGTCTTTGACTTTTAGCAGTTTGATTATGATGTGCCTCAGAGGTATCTTTTCAGGTTGAGTCTAACTGGGGACCTTCGAGCTTCTTGAATCTAAATGTTCATATCTTTCTCAATACTTGGGAAGTTTTCAGCTATTATTTAATTAAGTAGGGTTCCCATGCCTTTCTCCATCTCTTCTTTCTCTGGAACACCTGTCATTCAAACATTTGTTCACTTAATGGTATCCCATACATTTTGTAGGCTTTCTTCATTCTTTCTCATTCTTATTTCATTTTTTCTCTCTAATGGGCAATTTCAAATGATGTGCCTTCAAGTTTAGAAATTCTCTCTTTTGCTTGATCTAGTCTTTGTTGAAGCTCTCAATTTTATTTTGTATTTCATTCATTGAATTCTTCAGCTCCAAGATTTATATTTGGTTCTTTTTTATAAATATTTATCTCTTTGTTAAATTTATCATTCAGATTATGTTTTCCTGTTTTCACTGAAATTTTTGTCTGCATTCTCTTGTATCTCATTAAGTTTCCTTAAGATCATTATTTGAAATTACTTTACAGACATTTTGTAATTATCCTTTTCTTTGGTGTCTGTTACTGAAGATTTATTGTGTCCTTTGAGTGTGTCACCTTTCCTTGCTTTTTTTTGTGTGTGTGTCGCTACATTGATATCTGCTTATCTAATGGAGCGGTTGCTTTTCCCAATTTTATGGAGTAGATTACATAGAAATGACTTTTTCCCATATGTGGATAATAGGGTGTTTGTTGGATATGTTATACTGGCTTTGGTTTTAGGTGGACTCAATAGTATAATCTCTGTGCCGTTTCTTTGGTTTTAATTCTTGGTAGAGTTTGGATATATTGTCCCCCTCAAAGCTCATGTTGAAATCTGATCCCGAGCCTGCAATGTCGGGAACAGTTTGGGTCATGGGGGTGGATCCCTCATGAATGCCCTGGGGGGAGGAGTAGTGAGTGAGTTCTTGCTCTGTTAGTTTCCACAAGAGCTGGTTGCTTAAAGGATCCTGACACGTCCCCCTCCCTCTCTCTCTCTTGCTTCTTCTTGCCATGTGATCTTGCACCAGCTGGCTGCCTTCCAATTTTGGCCATGAGTAGAAGCAGCCTAAGGCCTGCAACAGATGCACCTGTCCCAGAATTGTGAGCCAAATTATCTTCTTTTCCTTATATATTACCCAGTTTCAGGTATTCTATTATAGCAACACAAAAATAGAGCAATATAATCCTCTTCAGCAATGTCTGCAAATGCTTCAGTGGCCTAGACTTGGAATTTGTACCAACACTGGCTCTGTTTTGCTGAGTTGGGGACTCTGAGCTGGTTGTTGGGCCAGGCATGGATAGATGTAGAGGGCCAGTTGGCCATTTGGTAGTCTTTCCTAGGCTCAGAATTGCTGCCCAACTGGCTGTCAGGTCAGGCGTGGACACTCAGCTCTGAGGTTGTCTCTCCCAGGGGGTGGTATACTGCCTGACCACCTTTTCGGCTGGATACAGGTGTGCCTGTGTACAGGGTGAGGGACTCAAGTGGCTCTGCAAAGGACTATCAGAGGAGTGGATGTCACTGCCTATCCAGGAATTGGCATGTGTGGCTGCAGCAGGGCCAGCTGGCTCTATGGAGGACTGCTGGAGGAGGAAAAGCCACCACTCGATCTGCTGTCAAGCAGGGAGCAGGCGTGCACAGGTACAGCAGGGTCTGACAGCTCTGTGGAGGGCCACTGGATGAGCTGTTCAGCCTGGAGCAGGCCCGCAAGGGTGCAGCTCTTTGGAGGGCCACCCGGTGAAGGCAGAGCTGTTGCCTGATCTGCTGTCAGGCAAGGAGTAGATGTGCACCAGTGCAGCAGGGTCCAGAAGCTCTATGGAGGGCTGTCGGATGAACTGTTGAATCTGCAGCAAGCCTGCAAGAGTGCAGCCAGGCCTGACAGCTCTGCAGAGGTCTGCTGTGGAGAGTCAAGGCTGATGCCCAATCATTGTCAGTCAGGTACGAGGTGTACACATGTGCAGCAGGGCCTGACGGCTCTGTGGAGAGAGGCAGAGCTACTGTGAGACTAGCTGTTGGCTGGCACAGGCATCTATGGGCTCAGCAGGCCAGTGGGTTGTACAGGGTAGGTGTACATGAATGTGGTGGATTGCTGTTATTTGGCAGCTTCCCCACGGAGTAGGTCTGCCAGTTCTCTTGGTGGCTAGGGGAGGCTGGGTGTGTTCCAATGTTGGGGTCTCAGTCTTTCTGTCTGGCCTAGGCTGCAGGCAGCTGGGGTCATGATCCTGTCAGCACCCATGCTAATGTAATGGAATGAAGGTGGGGCCTCAGGATGGATGGAGTCAATTTCCATTAGCACCCAGGTCCAGTCTTTCTGTCTGGCCTAGGCTGCAGGCAGCTGGGGTCATGATCCTGTCAGCACCCATGCGAATGTAATGGAATGAAGGTGGGGCCTCAGGATGGATGGAGTCAATTTCCATTAGCACCCAGGTCAGGGCACACTGTAGCAGTGGTTTTGGTTTCAAGATAGCACTGTGTCATACCTGCTTAGGTCAGGAGAGTGGGGGTTGCTCTCCCTGGGCTTCTACTATGAGTCTATAAGCTGCATAAACTCCCAGCTACTCTCCAAACTGGGTTTGGGGCCTGAGAAGACTGGGGGACTCTCCTGTGGCAGGCATTGCTCGTATTTGTGGCAGCAGAGGAAATAGCTGGGGTTTTTCCAGGTTACCTTCTCTCCACCTGACTCTGAGCTGGTCCCTGTGGAGAGACAGCAAGGCAGAGGCAGGATGCCCTGCTTGGCTCTCTAGGGTGCTGTCCCAGTCTGTTGTGCTCCACGAGGATTCCATCACTCCTCTGGAGCTCTGCAGTGTATTTCTTCAGTCATTCAAGTCAAAATATAGTTGTTTATTTGTTATTTTGATCTCTTTTGGTGTGTTTGGGGGGGGTGAGCACAGACACCTCTAGTCGCCCATCTTGCTCCACTCACTTGAGTTTTTTTTGATATATTCATAGAATCCTTTCTTCTCATGAAATCTTATATAGAAGGCCAGTGTGTAAAAGGAATGAAAGTGGAACTGCTCTACTTGAGGCTGAGAGTTTTGAGTTTTGAGTCCCATCTGCTCAGTTTCCCTCTTGTGCTGTGCAAATTATTGCTGAGCTGCCTAGAATCCTCAGAAGAACTTTGGAGTCTCTAGACCAGCCTACAGACTTCTACAATCTGCCTCCTTGGTTGAGTCTTGAGTACATCCCAGACACCAGATTAGGCACTGAAGGTGGGCAGGAATGGGAGACATGGCCCTTGATCTCCAGGAGCTGATAATGTTGTTGGAAAGGTCAGCAGAAAAAGGGAAGAAAAAATGAATTTATAGTCACCTGAACAGAAATACTTATCCAGAGAAAAGGGACTGAGACAATGAGGAAAGACTTCTTGAAGAGGGTAACGTGGGAATGGAGCATAGATGAGTAGAAAAGATTTGGAGAGGCAGAGGAGGAAAGCAGGACAGGGTGTGCAAAGTCATATAGTCCAAGAGAGACAGCACAGAACGGAGCATGCATGAATCAGATCTCAGTGTGCACACGAAGAAAAAGGCAG